AGGTATATGTGGCTGGCGCCTTAGCCACTTGAGCCACAGGTGCCGAGCCCAAACACAGTCTTACAATACTATGCTAAGAATGGTTGTCATCATTAATGTAATGTTAATAATGATATCTAAAGAGGAGTAAAGAGGGGTGGTTGTGGTGGCTCACCCCTGTCACCCTAGCACTGTGGGAGGCCGAGGTGGGTGGATTGCTTGAACTCAGGAGTTTAAGACCAGCCTGAGCAAAAGGGAGACCCTGTCTCTACTAAAAACAGAAAAACTGAGGCAAGAGGATCACTTGAGCCCAAGAGTTGGAGGTTGCTATAAGTTACGACACCGCAACACTCTACCCAGGGGGACAGCTTGAGACTGTCTCAAAAAAAAAAAAAGAGTAAAGAGTTGAGCAACATGTCAAAAAAGAAAACAAATAATAGTAGGATTCTTGAGTGTTAGCCATGAAAACTGACATTTTATTGAAGGATAACACATACACAGAAAAGGAACCAAAAGTGTACAGCTTCTAGAATTTTCACAAATGAACCGGCAGGTAACTGGCAGCCACATCAAGAAACAGAACGTCGGAGAAGCCCCCTTTGTGTCACCTGCTGGTAGACATCCTCATCAGAGTAGCTGCTCCCCCTACTCAAGGCAGCACGCACTGGTTTTGCTGGGCTTCGTACCTCCTGTAAGTGGAATCACAGGGTAGCTCTTGACTCACCTCAACTGACGCTAGGTTTGTGAGATCCACACTGTGGCGTGGGGAGTAGCTGCAGGTCACTATCACTGCTGCGTAGGATCCCACCATGGGACTTGGCCACAATTTCTTTATCCATTCGGCATGGGCATTTGGGTGCTTTCCAGTTTGGGGTTATTATGAATAAAGCTTTATGGACGTTCTAGGGCAGTTCTTTTGATGAATATCTGTACACATTTCTATTGAGTTTACACCTTGAAGTGAAATTGTTAGGTCATATAGAATTTACATCCAACTCACGGAAGAATAAGGAATTCACTGGTTGGAGGTTGGTGGCCTATAGCATTGACGGAAAACTAGAAAGGAGATGGTGGAGATGGAGATAGGTCTGTGGAGCTCGGCCAAGGAGCGGGGCAGGAATGGTCTTCCTAGGACCCTGCTACCCCTGGACCACCACGGCTTCCATGAAACAACTCTCAGCATCCTGCCATCTCTGTGTCACTTGCTCTGGGCTCACAGCCCCAAGCAGGGGGTCCAATTGTCTACCCAGGTCACTGACTGGTACCCTGGCTGGTACAGGGCTGGGAGGGTGCACCTGGGAGATGGGGATACCTCCCTACTCCAGCTTCCACCATGGGAGGTAGATGACATCCCCCCTATAGGAAGGGAGGGCAGACGCTGGACGGCCACGCTGAAACGCAAAATGACAACTGTCCACTGCAGCCACACTCCACTGTGACGGTTAGAAGGGGAGGGGCTCATTCCCATTTGTGTATCTCACAGCCCATGTGCACAAACCCACATTGAAGAAGAGGGGATTGAGTTTAGGAACCCCTTTAGGAGGGGTGACCCACAGAAAATGCCGTAGCTTGGGAAGGAAGAGGTGTAGCCAAAGGACAGAAAAGCATCTCTTGGGGAAGGTAAGGAAGAGAGAAGGAACAGGAAAAGAAAAGGAAACAAGGGGGAGGCCGACAGGAACAGCAGAGACAGGGGAGGGGACAGGCGGCAGACGCAAAGCACTTCTTTCTTGACCCGAGTTTGATTCTGTGCTGTCACCCTGCCTCGGCATCTCTGGTGTGCTTTTCATGGACTGTGCTTTGTTTCAGCAGTGTGTTGATGGTGACACAGACTACGGAACAAAGATCCTGGGCACGAACCAGCGGTAGAAGGGCCTGAAGTGCAGCGTCACACCCAGCATACGTTCTGCTGTGGTCTGAGCACACAGCTTCCTAACCACACTGGCTTTATCAGCAACCCTTAATGAAACGAAAGCTGGGGTTCAACAAAAGCAGCAGGGAATACAAATGTGTTAAACTATTTATGAGGGAGGCAAGTCATTAAGCGATCCGAAATTATGTGCCTCTCTGCCGGCCATTCGACTTACCCAGGGAACCGGGTACCTTTGAAGTCACGCGTTCCTCCCTACATGATGCCGGCAGGCAGTACATTTATTTGTTTTAAATGATAATCAGAGCTTTCATCTAGGGAGCATCTCTCTGTTTCCTCCCAGGCAGAGGCAGGAGGAGTAATTACCATTATCCCCAATTTGTAGGTTAGAACATTTCAGGCACACAATGGCCTGCTCTGGATCATAGGCGAGGCTCTGTCAGAACCAGGGAGAGGCAGTTCCCAAATAAATGGCATAGAACAAACTTAGACAAAGAGCTCTCTGCACCCGCGGTTTAGTCTCCTCTTACATTAGGGGTGTTTGATTTAGGCACAGCCTACAGGGTGGTCTTAGAAAATCCAAGAGCTAATTCAGTGATGTCCCCTCCCCTGGGACATCTGCACATCAGCTTCCATAAACTGCCAGAGACAGGCTCGGCAGGCCTCCCCCTGGTGAAGGTGGGAAGAGAAGGGTGCCACTGAACGGTCTGCAGTGGTTTGCTTCACAGTGTGTTATTAAGATTGCGGGTCTCCCTGCAAACAGGTGGATCTCCCTGCAAGGCAGCAGAGCTCAGGGGTTCAGGAAGGCTTTGGGGCCACGCTGCCTGCACTCACATCCCAGTTTCCCTGCTTACCATCTGTGACTTTGCTCAAATCTCTTGTGCCTCAGTTTCCCCTTGCTCTAAAACACACATGCACTCATGGTTTTATTGTTGGAGGATTAAATAGCTTAATACACATCAATGCTCAGCTCAGTGGTGGCACACAGTGAGCCACTGGCACTGTGACTCACACCTGCAGAGAAGGGGCTGTGCTGATGAAACCCGGGACGGGCTGGCGCTGTGTCCAGAACAGGCCCTAAAATTAATGCAGCCCACCAAGTAAGGGCCAGAGAGGAGGGAGCAGGGAGAAGCGGCATTTGCAGAGGGGAGAGGGCACCCATGGGTCTGGCTGCAGCACCAATACCAGTGACTTGGTGTGCGCTCATGACCACACTTGCTGCAGTGCCCACAGGACGCCGACGTTTGGGGAAGGACCACCTCCGGAATAGTCAGTAAGAAGGATGGGAAACAAGGACTCAGGGTCTGAGCCCTGTGGCCCCAGGAAGACACGTGTTCAGGAAACCATCCCAATCCTGTGGGTCGTCGCCTTTAAATAACAGGACATAGAAAATGCCCACAGCTGCTCTCTCCTCGAAGGGAGATGGAAACTTCACTATGTATTTCAGTGTCAAAATGCTCTAATCTGGTACTGAATTAAACTGGGGGCTTTGGGAGTACAGTTTTGCTTCTCAGTAAGTCATCCTCTGAAATGCATTAATGTGATGTATGTAAGCTTGGGAGTCAATGTTTAGAATTTTTAACCCTCCAATCTGTATTTTCTTTTTTTTGAGACAGAGCCTCAAGCTGAGCCCCTGGGTAGAGTGCCGTGGCTTCACTGCTCACAGCAACCTCCAACTCCTGGGCTCAAGCGAGTCTCCTGCCTCAGCCTCCCAAGTAGCTGGGACCACAGGCGCCCGCCACAATGCCCGGCTATTTTTTTTTTTTTTGGTTGCAGCCATTATTATTGTTTGGTGGGCCCAGGCTGGATTCGAACCCGCCACCCTAGGTGTATGTGGCTGGCGCCCTAGCCGCTTGAGCCATAGGCACAGAGCCTCCAATCTGTATCTTCACGTGACATCCTTCTTACGTGGCTATAAAAATGTCTATTTGCTTTGCCAACAATAAAAAGAACATGAAAATGAAAAAAAAAAAGAAATTAAATGCTACGAAAAAAATGAGACAAGCGCTGGCACCATCCCTTGGGCAGGGCTGGGTGTGGGCTGCGCTCGCCAGGGCTAAGAGCATGCACGGTCTCTACTGGGGATTTTTAGGGGCAGAGGAGGAGACATTTTCATCACAAATGGAGTTAGAGAATGGTGCAGAAAAACTTCTTCTCTCGAAAGGGGTTTTCTGACGCAGGCACCGGAATGATGAGAGGGTCTTCCCGTACATGGGCTTCACAGTATGCCAGGAGGTCGGCGGCTGCCTGGGAGACCTGCAGGGACATGGAGCACAGGGCCTGGTTAACGTCCATATCAGCAGAGTGGGCCCAGTGGACAGATGTTCCTGAAGAGAGGGGACAAGCCAGGACCGGCTATATTGTGTGCACAGCCAATGACATCGCCATACCTAGGCTAGAGAGAGTTCGTGCAAACCCAAGAGATAGGTTTGAAGCATGACTCTGAGAAAGAGGTGCCACCCTAGGATGGTACATCTGCATCTGGAGAGGACTGAGGGCCAGCAGGAAGGACCAGACATTCTTATGGGACTCAATTAGGTGAGAAGAGGCTCCAGGCCCATAGCCCCACAGCAACTCTTCTAAACCATTTCTGCAAGAATAAAGCACAATGTCTTGGCCAAGCCAGTGGAATCGCATTTATTTATTATTGTTATTATTTTTGAGACAGGTCCTCAAGCTGTCCCCCCTGGGTAGAGTGCCATGGCATCACAGCTCCAACTCCTGGGCTCAAGCAAGTCTCCTGCCTCCGCCTCCCAAGTAGCTGGGACCACAGGTGCCCACCACAACGCCCGGCTATTTTTTGGTTGCAGCCGTCATTGTTGTTTGGTGGGCCTGGGCTGGATTCAAACCTGCCACCTTAGGTGTATGTGGCTGGCGCCTTAGCCACTTGAGCCACAGGCGCTGAGCCAGAATCATATTTATTATCAGTATTAGTTGTTTTCTTGCAATCCACTCTCATGCCCAACAGAGAGAGACACTTCACCCTCCTCAGCAGAATATGAATTTGGCCATAAAGTCACACACATTTTCCCTTGGGGTGGCCACTCTCCAGCAGAGACAGTTGCTCCTGACTAGAAAGTTCCTCCCCCTCCATTTCCTTCCAGGCTTATCTCAAGCCTCCTGGTAAGGGCGACTGGGCATGAAACTGCAAGCTCCAGTCCAGAGGAAGGGCTGGGTGGGAGAGCTGGGTGCCGAGAGGCTCTTAGTAAGAGGGAGATGAACTTGCCAGCTCACTGCACTCAGGGTCTGCTTCATGCACTTGGCAAATGAACGGCCTGTGCGCTAACTCATCCTGCCAGTTAGGCTGTTCCGCCCGCAAGTGCTTATTAGAAGCTTACAGGCAGGAGTAAGTACACAGCAGTCAAATGAAATCCTTTTAGTACATTCAACATCTAAATCTTCTCCAGAATGAGAAAAACACTCCACAAATGACTAACCAAAAAAATGTTTCAAAGCGTCCAGCCATACAAGACATAACACATTTGCTTTGGGGTTTTAAAAATTGGCTCATCTTTCAACACTGGACAGAGGTTCTTCTTCTGATTTCTAGCTCAGTCCCAACCACTTTAGCAATGGGTAGAAATAATTCCGGCAGAGATACTAATACATTTTTTTCTCAAATAAAACAACTTGAACTTGAGCAGATGAGTCCATCTACATCCTGACAAAGTCTGCATTAGTTCGGAGTGTGTAATGAAGAAAGGGGAAACCAGTGACCATCAGGTTTCTAGTTCTACCTCCACACTTGACCTTGAGCTTAACTTTCCTCATCAGTAAAATTCAAGAGAGTTAGATTCTGCTAAGGTATATTTTACTACAAATAGTTGATGACTCTACATTTAATAGCACCATGAGGCCAGGTGTGGTGGATCACACCTCGAGTACTGGCACTCTGGGAGGTCAAGTGGGAGGAATGCTTGAACTCAGGAGTTCAAGACCAGCCTGAGCAACATAACAAGACCCTGACTCTATAAAAAATAGAGAAAATTAGCTGAGTGTGGTAACGTGCACCTGTAGCCTCAGCTACTCAGGAGGCTGAGGCAGGAGGATTGCTTGAGCCCAGGAGTTTGAGGTTGCAGTGAGTATGATGATGCCACTGCAGTCTAGCTAGAGTACAGAGCAAGACCATGCTTTAAAAAAAAGGTATCATGGTCAGTATTTTATATTCTAAATAAATGTACATTGAGTTGGGTGGGAGTGTTAGGCTACAGGACACCCATGTAAGTTATTTCCCAGATGAGTGGAGGCCCTAGGGAAGACCAAGCCTGCAGGGGACTAGAACACAGGAGCAGGGGAGCCAACTCGGAGGCCCACAGAGCTGCGATGGACACACAGAGGACTAGAACCATGCAGTGGGTGCTATAGTGTCTAGTGTGGGGCTTGTGAGCCTTGCATACAGCCAGCTTGCTGCCACCTTCTGTTCTTGTTTTTGAGATAGAGTCTCACTATGTTGCCTTGGGTAGAATCCCGTGGCATCACAGCTCACAGCAACCTCAAACTCTTGGGCTTAAGCGATTCTCTTGCCTCAGTCTCCCAAGTAGCTGGAACTACCGGTGACTGCCACAACGCCATTTTTTTGTTGTTGTTGCAGTTGTCATTGTTGTTTTTTAGCTGGCTCAGGTGGGGTTCGAACCTGCCAGCCTAGGTGTCTGTGGCCAGTGCCCTAGCCACTGAGCTATGGGCGCCACCAATCTCCTGTTCTCTCCAGCCACCTTAGTCTTGACCTTCTATATTCCATACAGAATCTACATAGAATCTATACTCTATACAGAATTACCTGGACTCCAGAGTATTTTATACATTCCATATAGAATCTATGCTCTGTACAGAATCTCTACACTACACAGAATCTATATAGAATTTATACCCTGCAGAGACCCTACACAGTTACCCCAGACAGAATCCACAGACACTGGGCTACAGCAGTGGCCTTATTAGCTGAAATGAGAACTGTCATTCTCAGATGGACTGGAACGTTCCCACCTGCCTGGCCAGCACACAGAAGAAGAGGTCCTTGTAGACCAATTACCCAAGAACTCACATGGCCAGGGAAGAGTCTGACACCTGAAGTTTCTTAGGTCATTCATTTACTCTAGAAGCAGTAAGTGTCCTCAGTGGGGACTTGCTTCCCCTATCCCTACCCTGAGAAGTGTAAGACTATAACTGCCAGAGTCTTAGAGTCTTGACCTCCAAGCCTCTCCTGCCTCTAGGCTGTTGCCCATCAACTCACGTCTACCTACACAAGCGATCCAAGTAGTCAGAAGCCAGCTTGTTAACTGATTGCGACGGCTTGCTCCCCCTTGATGCCTTTACTAGTGCAGGTGATTGTGCATCCTGGGTGGATCTGACTCACTTACCTCTCTGAAAATGCCCTCAAGGGGCTGTGTCCTGGGGCAGTTGTGCCGTCATCTAGTACAACTAGCAGGGCCATGGCATCGGATGACCAGGCTCAAAAGACATGGGGGCTCTGAGGAATGACCCAGTGGAGGAGAGATGGGGCTGGGCCCACGTCCCCTCCAGCAGACGTCCTCTCCCCTCGTAGTCTAGTGGTAGCGCTGTAACAGTTATGCTACTCACATCCGGCCCTGCCAGCTCTAAGCAGTTCTAGACTAGGAATTTTTCTGTCACCTCCCAGAGGTGATACTGTATTTAAGTCCATAATTTTTCTTCCAAGAAAACAAGATGTTCTTAGATTACCTCCTTGTGCTGTCGTACAATCACGGTTACATTTGCTTCATTCTAACTATATGCTCTGTGGACCTGTACAACAGCAATGCACAACGTGTGAGGAAGCCAGTGTTAGTGCTAAGAAATCAGTGTCTGGTTCACGACCAAACGTGTGGATGTGGTCGGTTCCAGGCAATGGATGTACTGAGATGCCCTCACAATTATTGAAAGGTAACCCTGAAAGGGGTGGTCCACTCATGCCCAGTTACATCTAACAGAGCGTAAACCATCTTACAGCAAAATAATCAAAGGTGTTTTCCAATAGTGTCCAAAGTCCTGTATTACCTATAAAACAAAAGTATCTGAAGTTACTGTAATGTGATCTGAAAAGATGAATACAGGTAATGACTGTCTTAATGAACCTTATCCATCCAAGGTGACAGCCTGATGCTGGCTCAGGATCCAGCATTAATGAACCTCCCCTTGGCTGGGTGGGAGGGTTTTCTTAATCAGCCTTAGATTGATTTTTATGGCTGAGGATTTCCTCCAATGTGCATAAAATATGGGCTGTAGGCACTGCTAGATCCCAAAAACATCTGCTGTCTTTGAAACATAAAAGAGTTTGCTTTCAAAGAGAAAAATGTTCTTCTAGTAGAAAACTAAAAACTCCCTTACACTTTATGCGTTCTCATCAAGGCTGAAGTTGGCTTTCCCTCAAGTCAGCTGTGATCAAATGCCCAGAGCGTCTCTGAGCCTCCCCTCCTTCAGTATTGAACTGTTTGAGTTACAGGATGAAAGATGTTGAAAAGAATGGGCAGCTGGGGAACAACTGTGGAATTTTACCATTACATTTCGGAGTAAAAGAGGTGATTAGAACAGCCCAAGTTAGCTCATGATCCTGTTAGTTGCACTGTAATTACAAGCTTCAATGATGGGTGAAAATGTTGCAATTACTATAGTCACATTCCCTGACAAGACAGATGACATAATTATTATTCTGGCTGTGACACCCCCTGCATTTATCCTTTGCCTCTCAAGTAGAGAGACCCACACCTATTCTCAGCAATCCTTGTCTATTTAACAATACTGCTTGGAATCAATTAAAAACATCTTTGTTGGCTTTGCCTGTTCCTCCCTCTGCCCCCAAGAAAAAAAAAATAGAATCATAGTTAAGAGCACAGCCAGGTCACAGCCAATGGTATCTTTTACTGGTCAAATTTGGTGCATGCTCCAGCAGAGGCCGTAACAGGACGGGTGACCCTACGGGGAACTTGTGTACATTATACCTCATCTCTGAATTCTCACTTCAGGGTGAATATTTGTGATTTTTTTTTCCTTTCTAACATTGGGAGGTATTTGAGACCAACACATCAGTTCCTACGGGCAACCTCTACACAATTCTATATTATGACTTTCAGTGTACCTCCTGCGTGGGGAGAAGCTTCCACCCAGCCCACAGACAACATCAACCTGAGAGTGGGTAAAATTATACCTCCAGGTGGACTCCAGAGAGGGGAAGACTGGGCGTTATGTATGAATGAAAGCTGTAATACAACAGAGAGTCCCTCTCTGAATCTGAAGTCACACGTCCATAACAGTGATAGCCACTGTTTACTACCATCAGTGGCTTTATTTATTTCAGTCACAAACTGATTGCATATTGAGAGGTAAATAATCTAAGATGCTTAAAAGAAAGTTTAATGTCACCAGGTTAACTAAAGTAAGGGTTGTTCTTACCCGGCCTTCAGTGTAAGGGACCTCAGCTTGTTCAGAATATGAAAGACCCACATCCACTCTGGACCTTGACTTAACTAAAGTCTTTTTTTTTTTTTGAGAGAGAGAGAGAGGGTCTTACTCTACCACCCTGGGTAGAGTAAGCGTTATCCTAGCTCACAGCAACCTCAAATTCTTGGGCTTTGGTGATCCTGAGATGGGGTCTTGCTCTTGTTCAGGCTGTTCTGGAACTCCTGAGCTCAAGCAATCCACCTGCCTCAGCCTCCCCCCAAAGCTATTTTTCTTCTGTTTTCTCCAAACTTTTCTTAACTTTCACAGAGGGGGATTATGAACAATTGTCAGTATTTGTCACGATACAATCTCTTTTCTTGGATGTCAATAACCTTTCTCTAACTACAGACAGTGGTTGACTTATGATGGTTTGACTTAGGATGGTGTGAAAGCAGTACACGTTCAGTATACTCCTTCACTTGCCAAAGCGTGCACCTGGACAAACCCATCGTAGATTGAAAATACTGTAAGTTGAAAACCCACTTTCACCTTCTGGCGTTTTCCACTTGCAGTGGGTTTACTGGGATGTAGCCCCATCCTCAGTTGAGAAGCATCGGTACCCACTTCTCCTGTATCTCTTGGGCATTAATTTTTAGCACATGCATTACCTGAAATCGCCATCTTCCTGTTTTTATGTTTTATTAGTCTGTAGAATGCAGGCCCAACAACAAGTTGATCTGTCAACACTCAGCAAATAAAGCTTGTGTTGAAAGAATCTTACCCTAAGGGCAGCCCTTTTAGGAACTGGTAACATACCCCATGGATATTTAAGTTATTTGCTATGGGCCTGAGGGCAAATGAAAGAGATGGGCTCCTTGTCCAGTTTCCCTCTGCCATCCATCAGTTGCTTCCTGGTCCCTGGCTGGAAGTTAGGTTTGGGCAAGGGTGTCTCAAGTCGCAGCCATGGGATATCAGCGATTTCCTTTTCCTCTGGGGCAGGAGGATCAGGAATTAACAGAATCTGAATTAGCCTCCAGCTGGTCGTCTGAGGGATCTGTGGACACACTTCTATGATGCCGATCACCACACACCCTTACTGCCTGTCACTTTGAGTATGTCTGAGGAACTAACTTGCCTTTGACTTGGCTTTCTGGGTTCCCCTCCTGCCAGAGCCTGCACGTGTGCCTAAGTGACTTCCGAAGTCCCCTTCATCATGGGGACATGGGGTTTGTGGTAGGCAAGGATCCGTTTTGCGTATCTTCTTGCCAAAGTAGAACTCCTGGGTGCAGAAAGACTGTCCTGTAGCCAAAACCAGTGTCTGTGGAGAGCCTGACAGTTGAGCTCTGACTTCTCTCTTCCCACGGTGACTCTAAATTCTCCCAATTTTTGGTGCGTTTGCCTCTCTGATCCCACCTTTGCTCTCTGCATCACACTACACCCGATTTATGTCCCTCTTGCCTCTCCTGAACCCTCAGAGCATCCACTGCCTCCTCACCGAGGACAACTCGATCTACTGCTGACAGGGTGGGTCACCTCAAACACCTGTCCCTCATGGCCTTGGCCTCAGATCCAGCCATTTGTGCACAGTGCCCTCCCCTGAGCTGCCCAAACTGTCTCCCCAGCACGGCCCACAGCTCTCCCAGCAAGTCCACTGCTTGACATTGGCCTTAATTCGCTCACACTGGCCTTTCCTTCTCCATTGTCAAGTCAGAAGCAGTCCTTGCAAGAACTCCTCCCTGAGCAATGTGGCATGTGGTGGAGACCACCCCATTCATGGCCGTGCAGACTGGGAGGGCGGAATGCTTCTCACACAGCCCCATCTTCACACATCCTTAAAGCCTTTTCTGTGCTATTGAGGCTCATGCTGTTTTAGGATTGCTCTCCGGGTGCTAACCTTGCTCCCTCCTCTGCCCTGGAGATGGAGAGGCCCGACATTGAACTTGGAGCTGGTGTCAGTAGGTGCAGGAGTGTGCCTCCACTGCATTTCACAGCCACACGCCTTGCGTGGCCCCTTGCTTGCCTCTAAGTGGCATCTGGAGAATAGGTGGCTTCATCTTGCTTCAGCTCTCCCAGCACGAGGAGACCTGCACTTATCAGCAAAATGAACACTTTGGGAGGTGGCCGGCACCTTCCCTCACTTCCCCCAAAGGGATATTTGACAAACACAGGCTTAGTTCAGGGCTTCACCCCAACAGGAATCCTGTCAAAATACCCGAAGCTGTCTAGCACTGGGCAGAGAACGGTGATGATCTCCCTGGTAAACTCTCCCTCTTGCTCACTGGCACCACAACAGAGCTAAAAAAGAGCCCAGATGGATTACAAGTGTATTTCTGGTGACTCCTTACGGGACTCACCACACTGTGTATTCTGCATCACTTGAATCCTTGGACACACTCAAAACTCTGCCGCAAACCTTCATTTGTAAATGTTACAGCTCAGGCAGGCTGGATGCTCTGCTGGGTGTCGTATTAAGGCTCACAAGGCTGCTTCAGAAATGGGAGGACCATTCTGAGCTGAGTTTGGGGCGGAGGGGGAGGCGGGCTTACCTTCACCCTGTCCATACACGCTTCCATCTTCAGCTGCTCCACGGCTTTCCTGGCTTGGGAGATGCTGGTGGTGCTGTTGTTGGACATGCCTTCTTTCATGCTGCTGCCCCTAGAAGCAACCAGAAATAAAAGGTCGGAAGTGCTGCTTTTCCAGGGGAAGGCAGGACCGTCCTCAGCCTTCCCCCTTCCCCACCTCCTGCAGCTTCTCTATGCAAGGCAGGGTGCACCTGGGGACAAGCAATAGCAAACAAGGTCAGGGCAGCGTCCCTAGAGTGGGGGGAGCCCGCAAGACACTACGCTTTTCTTTGGAAAGACGTTCTCAGTCCTGGGGAGGGTGAGACGGGATGGTCCCAGAGTGGATTCTTCATCCCCGCCACTGCAACCCTAAGTAACACCCAGACATTTGTTTGCACACACGTTTCTTTGCTCATTCCTGCAGCAGCCCATAAAGTCGACAGGGCAGCACTAGTTTTTGTTTTGTAAATTACGAAAGCACAAAAATCCGAGAAATAAAGCCAGCAGCCAGAGGTTCCCCAGCCAACATTTATGGGTCCAGAGCCCAAACTCAAGCTTTAAAGTCCAGCGAAGTATTCGTCACACTCTTTCAAATAGCCTCTCCTAGAAATCTGCAGCCTTAGGGGCACATTTGCAGCAAATAAAATTGCTTTATTATTCATTGTCATTTGCTGCCCTTCCAAAAGGTTTATAGACTTTAGGTTGAGAGTTTGTGTTTTCAACAATATAACATGCACACACACACACATGTACCCTTATCCCAAGCTTAGACTTGCTTTTCTAGAAAGAGAAATTCTCCCTGACCCAACACATAATGATGCCACGTGATTAAGAGGAGACCACTGGGCTGCCACCTGTAGCACAGAGAAACTGACTCGGAGCCCTGCTGGACGGATGGGTCCTGGAAGGTCTAGCTCTGATTCTTGAAATTGAGAGAATGTACTCCTCGCCGTTCAGGCCACACTTGTCTGTCACCTGCAGCTGAAAGCATCTTGTCATCTAAGACAAACACTTTACAGGTCCCCTTGCGGAAGGTGCTGCCCTGCCACTCACCCCTCTGTCCTGTAACGTCTGTGTCTCTAGCTTCCTTCTCAGCAGATACAATTATACGTATGTCTTTTTCATCCAACCATCTCAAACAACACGGAAAACCCTTCCTTCCCTCAACCTGCATTCTTGCTCGAGAAGGACAGGAAAGGTAACTGCAGATTCCCAATAAGAGGCCCTTCTGTAACGACAGGAAGAGATGCTAACATCACAAAGGCCCGGGGCAGGGGACAGAGAAGCCTGCTCTGTCCTCTCTGCCCTGCCCAGCAGCCCCCAGGGCTCCAAGTCCATTTTCAGCACAGTCACCCTGGTTACCATCGTGAGCCCCAAGCTGTTTTCGTGTGTGTGTGTGTTCATGTTCCTGCTCTCCAGGGGGCCAGTCTGGTTTCTCACAGCACACATACCTGGGACCCAGTCTGTGACCTAGCACACCGGGATACTGGCATGTGTCAAAGGTGGAATGCCACAGCTGGCTGTAAAGTGTCCGTGGCTACAAACCCCGGGGCCTGAGGGAGCAACCAGCTTAGACTGCAGAGTCAGGGTGGGTGATGGTGTCCATCGGCCTCCCCTTGTCACAGCGTGTGGCTGGACAGGGACACGTATCTGAGGAGCACAGCCAGCTTCCCAGCCCAGGCCTGGCAGCCCACGGGGACGGCCTGGTGCTCTTCCCTGCTCCTCCCAGATGGGCGCATCTCACACAGGGGATAACGTGAGGGGGTCAGTGAGCTTTAGAAGGCCCTCCCTCTGTGGAGGCCGGCACCGGCAGACAGAACAGTGAGACCCCTGGAAGAAAGCAAGGCTGGGCGGATAGGGGGAGGGAGGGTGATTGGTGGGGTCACCTCTATGGTTTATCTTACAAGGGTACAAGTGAATCTTTCTAAAAGCAGAGTATGAATGTCTTAACTTAATGACTAAGAGAATGACATGAAGGTTATGTTAACCAGTTTGATGAGAGTATTTCAAAATGTATATGAAAGCAGCATCCTGTACCCCATGATTGCATTAATGTACACAGTTATGCTACAAGGAAAAAAAAAAAAGAAGAAGAAGAAAAAAAAAGGAATCAGGCTGACCGCACCTCCAGGATCCCCAGAGCTGTTTCAGCGAGGCCCCACATGCTCCCAGCAAAGACACCTGTTCTTCAAAGAGACCCTTACCTGCTGAGGGGCAGCACGGTGACAGGCCTGGGCAGGGGACAGAGGCTGGCAGTGGCAGCAGCAGTCCGTCCTCAGACAAGAGGTCGATTCAGAGCTCCTGCTTTGAGGTCCACCTGAAAACAGAACCAGAGACGTGTCTCCAGTGTGGGGAAGGCCTCCCTTCTGCTGTCCTTGGTGTCCCATACGGCCCAGCTCCCATGTTCTCTCCTTGGGCTCAGCAGCTTTCCATTCCCCAATCTGACACAGGGCACACTGGGGACACAACCCCGAGGCCACAGGCAGCCCTGGCCCTGCCAGACAGCAGCTGTCCCTGCCAACCCGAAGGCCTAGTCGCTCTACGCCTCATATGAGCCATCCCAGCCAAACCGCTGCCAGACAGAAACAGCTGACATTTCTTATCATAAAAATATATATCCACGATGGAAAATGTGAAGGCAGAGAAAATTATAACAAAGAAAAAGATTATAATGTATTTTCCCAGAGATAACTATGGTCACCACATTGATGGGTATTCTTCTTCTTTTTCTTTTTCTTTTTTTTAGAGACAGAGTCTCACTTTGTTGTCCCCAGTAGAGTGCTGTCGCATCATAGCTCACAGCAACCTCCAACTCCTGGGCTTAGGTGATTCTCTTGCCTTAGCCTCCAGAGTAGCTGGGACTACAAGCACCCACCACAACGCCTGGCTATTTTTTTGTTGCAGTTTGGCCAGGGACGGGCTCGAACCCTCCACCCTTGGTATATGGGGCCGGGGCCCTACCCACTGAACCATAGGCACTGCCCGACCACGTTGATGAATATTATTCATTCACAAATAATAAGTTGATTCACAAATAATAACTTGAAATAACTTGATTTCAGCCAAAGAAAATTTAGCACAGAAGAGAGAACTAGGTCAGATAACGCACAAGGCTTCGCACAGCACGTTCTCCACAGGGAGGCGCGCAGTCCTGTTCGCCCCCTCCCAGGAGAGAGTGCCTTGAGAATGGCCAACTCAGCCCCAAGGGTTTTCTGGTGTCCTGCCCTAAAGCATGCATCTGCCAAGAGGTCCTAATGAACTCAGAGCAAAACCAGAAGCCCAGAAGGAATGAAGGCAGGTGACAGTCCTGTTTTGTCCCTTGGTGAGGGCAGAATGCAAATTTGTTTTGGTTTGAACTTCAGGGCAGATTATTCAAAGTTGAGCTTGGGGCATACTTCCCAGCCACTATGGTCTGAATGTTTGCACCCCTCTCCACCAAATTTATACGTTGACATCCTCACCCTCAGGGTGATGACGCTTGGAGGTGGGGCCTTGGGGAGGTGACCAGTCATGAGGGTGCAGGTCTCACGCCTGGGGTCTGAGAGACACCTCACACCTTCTACTACACAAGGACACGGCCACAAGGTTCTGTCTGCGAACCAGGAAGCAGGTCTTCCCCACCATCCAATCTGTCAGCCCTTGGACTTCTCAGCCTCTAGAACTGTGAGAAATAAACGTCTTGGGTTTACTATTGCCAGGATGTCTGGCAATAGTATTTTGTTACAGCAGCCCCCACAGGCTTAAGACAGCCTGTGTTGCATTTTGACAATTATTGTTCTAGTTAGAGTAATGCATTGTATTCAGACACTTTGCCCCCTTAAAAACTTATTGGTCTTTTTTATAGGCATGGTCTTATCTGTCACCCAGGCTAGAGTGTGGTGGCATGATCATAGTTCACTGTAACCTTGAACTCCTGGGCTCATGCAATCCTCACACCTTAGCTTCCCAAGTTGCTGGGACTATAGGTACATGAACCACTAGGCCTGGCTCATTTTTTAAAATTTTTTGTAGAGATAGGGTCTTGCTGTATTGGTCACCGAGATGATCTCAACTTCTGACCTGCCTTGGCTTCCCAAAGCATTGGGATTACAAGCATGAGCCACCATACCCGGCTGTTCTTCTTTTAAACACATTTTTTTTTTTTTTAGAGATAGAGTCTTGTTTTCTCACGTAGGCTGAGCGCAGTGACACAATCATAGCTCACAGTAACCTCAAATTCCTGGCTTTTATATTGTTTCACCCTAATCTTCTGTTTTGTTTTTTCACCCTCTGCTATTGGAAAACCCTTTCTCTTCACTTGTAAACAACACTCTTAAAAACCAATTTAAGTCACTGGTGTTGCAGACGGTACGGAATCATAGTTGTTAGTTGGTTTTAGCCACCTGCGGGAGGCCCAGAGGGCCCTAAGTAGAGAAGACAAGGATGGGTGCAGGAAGTCCTTCACTCCTCCACCTCCATCAGGAGTCCTTCCTTCCCCCACCATCTTCCAGACCGAGGGAGGGAGACAGACAGACACATGCTGGAGAGAAGGCCTGCTGAAGGGGACAGGCAGAGCCTAAACGCTGCACCCCAGAAAGATCTGGCTCCAGGAATCTTCCCTACCCAATCTCTGGAAAGACATCAAACCCTGGGAGGTGCGGGTGGGAGAAAACAAAATGGCTGTATAACTCCTCTCTCATGGCCAATCTTAGCCGTGGCCTGCTGGCACTGTCCGTCCCAGGCTCCCTCTGAATGCCGTCCCCTGGCTGCCAACACAGCCAGACCAGCATGCCTCCCTCCTAACGCCCGACGTCTTCAGTTCTAAAATCAGAAGTGCCCAAGGGAATATTCTCTACTCAGACTCTTTAGTGGGCGTGTGCACCATTCCTCCCAGCAAACATCCTGCAGTGAAGGCTGCGAATGCCAGGAGGACGGCTGGGGCGAGGACAAGAAAAAACAGATGGGGTATTGATGTCTGCTTTAGTAGCGAGACGAGCTATTCTGCACAGACATACATCCCATCTTAGAAAGAGCTGTCCGGGGCTTTGTGGGACAAGCTCCCTTGACCAGCTCCATGCCAGGAGCTCCCCTGGTCATAGGAGTTGGAGAGACGGCCAGTATTTTGCTCTTTCTTTGGCAGGTCATAGTACTAACTATATAACATATTAAAAATTCTGAAGAATCCTGCAGTAGAGAAACTATTTAAGCCTGCACTTCTCAAAATTATTGATTCAGGAATGCCCTAGTTTTTTCTTTGTTTTTGTCTTTTAATATAATTGTGCTTCTTACTCTTTTCCACCACTTTCTGGGGCAAACAGCCCCACGGGGACAACAGGCTCCCCTGACTCAGGCAGCCCAGGGCCCCTTCCAGAGGGCTGAGCAGCTGGGTCCCGGGGGTGCACGTGCAGCCCAGAGCCCACACCTCCCCCACAGTGGGGGAGCCCTTCCTGACCAGTGGTTCCCAATTTTGGCTGGAATCAGAATCATCTGGAAATGTAGCAATATTAAGGCCCTGCGGTACCCACCTCTGTATTCTGTCTTAGCGCTCCAGGGAATTCTGACACAGACTCAAGTTTTAATACCGCTGCTCTGCAGGGAGCCGGCGGTTCAGTCTTTGCTGTACATCTGAACCACTCAGTTCGTGCGTGCGGGGGGTTAAAGATCCTGATGCCCAGATCAAACCCCAGACCCTTTAAGCCACCATCAGTGGATGTTTAAGCTTCCCAGGAGAGTCCACTGTGCAGCCGTGTTGAGAAACACCACTCTAGTCTGCACCTAGTGGGCATGTCCCAAACTCGGGTGAGCACCCAGCCACCCAGACCTCCCTCGGCAGGTCTGGGCAAGGCTGCTCCTCAAACCACGGTGGGAGAGAATAGCATCAGTGTCCCCAGAGCCGACTCTACATTTTTAGCCAGGTGATTCATGTTATGTTAGAGTGAGAAGCTCCGTGCTGGACCAGAGGGGCCAGGCCTGCCTCTACCCAGGGGTTAAGACAGAGACTCGTGGAAGACACACGAATCAGGGGTAAGAGTAGAGAACAGCAAAGCTGCGGTTCTCCTGACCCTTAATGTTATTAACACCCCATCCAGCTTTTTGGGTTCCTCTTGTAGATGATTTAATTCATCCTGGCAGCTCTTTGAGAAACCACACGTCGTAAAAAGGCTGCATCAATTCTCCCTGTTCACCTGGCATCTGCAGAGCCTCCTGCAGCCAATGTTTGGAACTTATGTCAAATGTCATCTTGCCAACCTGTCCTGCACCCCAGGAAGGGGTCTAGACACCTTCCCTGGATCATCACTGTTTCTTAAAATAAGGCAAGTTGTCAGAGCTGATAGGAATTTAGCTCTTGACCGACGTCCCTGATAGGGCTGCTGAAGAAAGCTGCCTTTTAACAGCACTGAATTTTTTTGGCTGGGGCTGGGTTTGAACCCGTCACCTCCAGCATATGGGGCCAGCGCCCTACTCCTTTGAGCCGCAGGCACTGCCCAATAGCACTAAATTTTACCACGATGTTTTCAAAAACATTTGTTTTCCCTAAAGAGAAGAAAATATATTTGTCTCTGAACATGTTCTCGTGTTTCCTTGTGAGGTCACGGGAGTGCTCACCGACTGGGAGCCCCTCAAGGGCACAGGCCTTGTGCTTTAACTTTTGTGTCTCCAGGGCGAGACAGGGACCGGTCAGGCTCAGAGTAGTCAGTCCATCCAACTGTGTGTATGTGAAAGAACCAACGGGCTTCAGGGGTGACTTTAATTCTCCATGGCTGCTCTTGTTTCAATTAATGTATGAAGCTAATTTAGCTCCTTGGGTTCTGAGAATAATGACCTAGTATTATCTACGGACACCGGGGTGGTTCAGAGCCTCTGTTCTCACGGAGCTCACAGTCTGGTAGGGGGTGTCCCCATCCTCTGGCTTCCACCTCCCGAGTAGCTGGGACTAAAGCATGTGCTACCACACCTGGCGACATTTTAAAACTTTCTGTAGAGACAAGGGTCTCCATACCTTGCCCATGCTGGTCTTGAACTCCTGGCTTTAAACAATCCTTCCACCTCAGCTTCCCGATGTGCTGGGATTACAGGTGTGAGCCACTGTGCCCGGCCATGAATACATTCTTCTGAGTGGAGGCACAAGGCTCTATGTGAGAATAAAACCACCTTCCTCTCACAGAAATTTAACTGTGGCAGGGCGCGTGGGCTCCAGCTAAGTGTGGCCTTGTGACTCTTTTTTGCCAATAGAGAGAGACTAGAACTGATGACTGGGCTCTAAAATGCTATTTGCGTGCCTCTGTGCTCTTCCCCACAGCGTGACTTTTGAAACATAGATGTGTCTGCAGCTTAACTTCAA